AGGACCCAAATCAAACTTGTAGAAACAAAAACTACAATATCTGAGATGAAATAAGCACTGTATTGGCTTAACTATAGATTACCAATTATACAGGAAAATATTAGTGAACTTGACAACATAACAGTAGAAAATATTCAAAATGAAACACAGATAGAAAAAGACTGAAAAAAAGACCAGCGTTATCAGTCAATTGTGGGAAAATTTTAAGTGACCCAATATATGTGTGTATTTGGAGTCCCCGAAGGAGAAGATTGAATGGGAGTGGTAGCTGAAAAAGTATTTGAAGAGATAATGGCTGAGTTATTTCCAAATTTAATGAAAACTATAAGCTCACAGATCCAAGAAGATCAATGAACTCCTAGCACAAGAAACATGAAAACTATGCTAAGCATATAGTATCAAGGTGCTTAGAAATAGTGATAAAGAGAAGATCTCACAAAGAGCAAGGGGAAAAATATGGTTATGTACAAAGATTGACATCAGATTTCTTGAAGAAACAAGCCAGAAGACAGTGAAGCAACATCTTTAAAGAAATGAAAGAAAACACTGTTTATCAAGAATTCTATATTCATCAAAATATTTTTGAAAAACAAAGGCAAAAATAAAGACTTCCAGGCAGACGAAAACTGAAACAAACCATCACCAACAGTTCTGCACTATAAAACATGTTAAAGAACTAATTCTGTTAAAGCAGAATTAACATGATACTAGTTGGAAATCTGGGTCTACACAAAGGAATAAAGAGCATTGGAAAAGGTAACTACATGGTTAAATATATGAGAAAATTTTTGTTATTTAAATCTTTTAAAAATAGTTCACTGTTTAAATAAAAATAATAACAATGTGTTGTAGGGCTTATATGAATAACTAAAATGTATGATAGTAAAAACAGAAAGGCCCAGACAGGAGAAATGGAAGTGTACCATTTCATACCATATATGGTAAAGTTCATATATGATACTTGAAGCGGTATAATATAACTTGATAGTAGATTGTGATGTTAAAGATATATACTCTAAACAAGTAGTTCTCAATTAGGGGTGATTTTGACCCCCAGAAGACATTTAGCAATGTCTGGAGACACTTTTGGTTTCCAAAACTGAAGAGGCTACTACTGATATCTATTGGATAGAGATCAGGGATGCTGGCCAAACATGCAAACATGCACACATTCCAAAATGCACAGGACAGTCCCCAAAACAAAGAATTACCTGGCCCAAAATGTCAAGAATATTTTGGCTTTTCTTGCTTCCTTACATTTCTATATGAATTTTGGGATCACCTTGTTAATTTCTGAACAAAAAAGGAAGTTGGAATTTTGAAAGGATTGTATTGAATATGTAGATCAATTTAGGGAGTGTTATCATTTTAGCATTATTAATCTAATCCATGAATACTGACATCTCTCCATTTATTTAGTTCTTTAATTTATTTCAACAATATCATGTAGTTTTCAGTGTACAAGTCTTACATTTCGTTTGTTAACCTTTTCCTAAGTGTTTTATTCTTTTTAGATGCTATTGTAAATAGAATTGTTTTGTTAATTTCATTTTTTGAATCATTCACTGCAAGTGTAGAGAAAGACAACTGATTTATTTATACTGATCTTTTATCTTGCAACCTTGGTGAACTTGTTCATTAGCTATAATAATCTTTTAGTACATTCCTTAGGATTTTCTGTATGCAAGATGGTATCATCAGCCAGAGGATTGGAGAGGAGGGAAAAGATGTCACCCTCATCCTGCTTCTCATTTGTTTGTTCTGATGGATGTCAAATACTTTTATGATTCAAGTTAACTGTTTTATGAAGGTTGTATCATTCTGTTCTGGGAATAAAATGTTTTATGCAAGCCAGACCTCGAATGCAAATTTGAATTATGGAATTTTCTTTGGTAAAGACAAAGTAGGGTAGATCAAGGTGGCTTCTTTCTCTCTCTCTCCACCTTCCCTTTCTTCTGACTGAAATGCCAGAATAGAGTGAAAGGACTGTTCTTTGGAGATCTTAATGTTAAAATTTTGAAAAGATTTTATTCTAAAAGTTTAGATACAACCGTAAGTAAGTGTAGGATTTGACAGGACACTGACAAAATGTAGTGAACATCTATTCTATCTTCCACTTTCCATCCGTACACCCTTCTCCCTTCTTTGGTAACATCACTTCAGTTTTCCTTAGGAGGATCACCTCTCCCTGACTTTCAATCCAGGCAGGCTGAGTGTGTTGATATCACCTCAGGCTCCAGGGGTGGGCATGTGACTCAAGCATGGCCAATTAGAGAAGTTTCTCCCTGTGGCCACAGAGATTGGTTCAGGGTTGGATACAGGATCCAATTCAAGCCAATGAGAGACCCAGAACCTTTATTTGAACTATCAGAGAAGAGAAGCTATCTTTTCAAAGGGGAATTAGCCTTTAAGGATGTAGGCCTGGCAGTCCTGGCAGCCATTTTGCATATTTTGATTTGTGGAGCCTGAGAATGAAGCCAATGTGATGGAGAGCAGCATAGAGAGATGGAGAGAGATCATTTCTAATGACATCTTAGAGTTCCTGGACCTGGTTGTGCCTGAAACCAAAGTAACCTAGACTTTCAGTTATGTTGTTGTTGTTTCTTTTTTCTTTTTTCCTAATGGAGGTACTGGGGATTGAACCCAGCACCTCGTGCATGCTAAGAATACACTCTACTGCTGAGCTATTTCCACCCCGTGTGGACTTTCAGTTATATGATTCAGTAAATTCCTTTTTGTCCTTGAGTCAATTTGAGGGTTTTTTAAAATTCATTTGTTTGTTTTGTCACTCACAAGCAAAATAGTTCTAAATGATATACCGAAAGATACCAGATTAGGAAAGTATGAAGGAGGAAGTTTGAAAAGGGAATGAGTATTAAAGAATAGAAAAAAGAGTTTCTACAATGGGAAAGCCTCTGACCCCATAGCCACGGAGCAGAGTATGCATGAAGATAAAATCGCCCCAGTCACTGGAGTCAGTTCGGTAGATGGTGCCAGCACTGTACCTGGCTCTGAGGAGTCTGTCCACAAAATCTTCACTTGGTGGCTGTGCTAGCTATTTCCTGTTTGCCCCTCCAAATGCACTTTCCACCCTTCCCCACCCTGCTTTCTTCTCTGGGAGGCTGACTGTATGGACCACGTCAGTGGGCTTCCTTGTCCTCTGACTTTTGGTTGGGTTTGGCCAGTGGGAACTACCAGCAAGAGATCAGAGGGAGGAAGGAAAATTAAATGAAGGTATTTCTTCTCCTATTTCCATACCTACAAGATCACCTTGAGCTAGCTTAGTCCTCCAACAAGACCACCACTCCTTTCAAGGCAGGCAGTGGTACATGACTCAGTCCTTCTGGGTTCTGAGAACCAGTTCCTACTCCTGCCCTTTAGGGCCTAGGGAAGGTAAGAGTTTAGCTTATACTAGCCTGGGTTATGTGATATTCTCTGTGGTTCCCTACATCTACACATTTATAAGTAATCTCTTTGTAAATAAATCCTCTTCCAATTATTCTATTTTGTCAAGTGTGCTGTCTGTTTCTTGTTGGAACTCTAACTGATGCTATGGCTGTATAGGAGCCTGCAAGGAAGTACATCCTGGATACTGGCTGCCAGATTGAGAGTTTATCACATTCTCCTTAAACCTTTTGGATCCTTCTATCAACTTTCTTCCCCCCTAGCTTACAAATAAAGGACTTTGTGAAGTAGGCAAGACTATTCAGCCTTTCAACTCCATTTTCCTTTGCCGCCATCCATTCTAGCCACCTTCCCTCTCAAACACCTTAATACACACATAAACACCCAAAATTCTATTTTCTGCCTGGATAAAATCACAATGTAAGTCACACTTCTGTATGATTTAGTTAAATTACTTCATCACGTTTGAAGTCAGTAAGGAAAAATAACTCTAATGAATAACCTAGATGGGAGAAATACATTGGGATCAAGGACCTCCCCCTAGTCAAACCATATCAGCCTAGTAGACCTTAGGCCAGGACAGCTTCCAAAGAAAGAAGGGATTCCTGCTGCAGCCTAGCCTCTGAGTCAAACAAGGGAGTGGAAATATTTCTGTCTTTAATTGCACTTACCACTAGGGATTTGCTATGGCAGATACTTTGTGGTCAGATATGCCCTCTGAAGTCACTTAGCGAGGCTTTCATCAAGTAATTTCATTTTCTAGTTGGATTTTGGTTCTTTCTCTCCACCTCAAAATATCTCTTAGTATTCTTCTACACAAACAAATAGGACAATTTATCCTGGGACTCAACCTTGATAAAGAAAGGAAGTTTGCTCTGACAAAGTAGTCTTCTGAGAAACTGGAGCATGAAGACTGCAAAAGGAAAAATGCTCAGAAATGAAACTTTTAGTTTCATCCTCCTGTGGCTAAATCCCAAGAGTCAAAAAAAAAAGGTGGGAGGGAGAGAAAGAAAAAACTCTTAAACTAATAGGCTGTCAGTTGTCAAGTTTTCCACCCACATGTCTGCCCAATTCTTGTGGGAAAATCAGTGATACAGTCTAGAAAGAGGAAATCATACACCACTTCTTTTTTATTTCAATTTATTGCTGTCAACAACTCCCCAAGACAATATTAATGTTTTCTACACGAAGATTCCCAACAAACAGATGCCTAAGAAAAGTATCTTTAGGATAATAATTTCAGAGGGGTGAGGAGTACAGAATCATGTCTTGCATGGACAAAACCATGAAGGCATTTGGAAGTAGTATTTCTCATTGACAATCGAGTAAAACCAAGTGCACTGCAGCATGGTATACAAATCAAATCCTGGTACAGCACAGTATGGGGGACTATTTAAATTAATCCACTAGAAGTCTATTGAATTGTTAGAATCCAATTTTAATGAATAGATTATAATATTCAGTTCTGTATAATAAAGCTATTTTTAAATGTCCCAGCTGATATCCCAAACTATCCTAGTACTATTCAATACTGCTTTGAAACTGTGGACACAATGGATTCCATTGAATGAGAAATACTGTATGACAAAAGAGTCATAATTCCTTGTCTGTTTAATAGTCAACATATTTAACAGGGTAATGTATTATGTATAAAATATAGCACCAGTAGTTGAATTCCTGTGAAATGTTAACTATTCTAACTCAGATTTGACATATGTTTTAAAATGTTTGGGAAATCATTCATTGGTTTTTAAAAAGATGATACTTCCTGTTAAGCAGCAGATCAGAGTAGAAAGAGCACTGGACCTGGAGTCAGATGCAAAGCAGGTTATTTTAACTAAACACTCTCTAATATCCTTTCCAGATCTAATGTTCTATTATCTTTTACTACTAAATCTTGAGAGTTTATTTGAGGTAATTTTTAGGTGGTATAAAGTTGTTATCTTCAGGTTTGTTTCTTTTTAAAGGTTAGTTTTGAAAATTGAATTTCATAAGGAAAGGGATTGGGAGGAGACAGTTTCATTGTTTTTTTGTGTTTTCCACATATCTTTGATCACTTGTCAACAGCAGTCAGCTCCCTCTACTCTGTCAATAAGAGTGGGAAGGTGTCTGGGAAGGAGATTCCAGAGAGCAGAAGCAGCGCTTCCTGCCATAAGCCAGGAGAGAAGCACTACCTGAGAGACTAGATTGCTGTGGTGTGTTTACTTAAGTGGCTCAAATTCCCATGATTAAATAGCCTAGACTTTCTTGAGAGAGTTCACTTAAGCAAATGCTGCTTTCATTCGCAGATTTCCTTCTTCCCAACCCCACTTATATTTACATCTCCATATCTGTGTAACCAGTAGAAATCACAAGCCAATCACCATGTCCAAAACTGGTCTCAGCATCTTCTTCTCCAATCCTGCTCTACTCATGGATTCCCAGGCTTAATCAACAATACCACCATCCCACTGGTTCGAGCCAGGCTCAAAAGCCTGGAGTCATTCTTGACTCCTCCTGTTCCCTCATTGCTCATTCCACAGACTTGCCCCCTCCAACCCACACTTCACATAGTGGCTGCCAAAGTGCTCTTTTGAAAATGTAAATATGATCACGGAGCTTCCCTGCTTAAAATGCTTTAATGACTCCTTTTCACTTACTGGATAAAACTCAGAGTCTGCTTTCAGTACCTGTACACCTTTCTAGCCCCATCCCCGCCACTCCCTGCCATTGCTCTGAGCCCTTTACGCTCCATTTACATGAACTGCTCACAGTTGCCCAAACACACCATGGACTTTCGTGATGGTGACTTTGCATGTGAAATGGCCTCTGCTACTTTCTCAGCTTAAGTTACTTTTCCTCATGTTTCCATAGCATTTCCACATACTAGTTTTATAACTCTTGTCATACTATGTTGCAGTTACTTCTCTTGTTTGTCTTCACTACCAGACTATCCGTTCCCTGTTTTGGGAGCAGGTGAACATAGTAGAGGAGATTCAGACTCTGGATACTTCTAGGTAGCATTTAAGCTTGCTTTGGACCCTGACACTCTGCTCTTCTCCGATACTCTTTTTCTCCTTGTCCCAGCCCTCCCCCTGGTGGAGGTGTTAAGGAGCAATTCAACAGTCTCATGGCCAAAGATAAGACCAAGCTGCCTGGCCGATCCACAGCCTGGATAAATATCTGCTTCATATCATTTCTTAAGCAAATGAAAAGCTGGCTAATGGGCCTTGGATTTAAGGTGGCCTGTCAGGGGCTTTCTGTCTTACCACACATCAATTGGGAGACCCTCATTTCCGTCCTTGGAGCTGTATTGGGGGCGTCAATACATCCATCTCTGATGGTCTCCTTTGAGACATCATACTACTGTCAAACAAATAAGAATCAGCTGGTAGAGATCTTCTTTGTTTTCTCCTCTGCCTGAAGCTGAGACAAATCTTTTTGCAGGAATGTTTGCCTTTGGATGATTACACCACAAAGCAAGGAATCAAATACCAGTCACATCCACATGGTAGGTGTTCTCCCCAATTGCAGTGGGCCTCACCTCCCAAAAAAGTCATAGGGAAGGTCCATGTTCTGGTCTATCTCAGAACAATATCCAGTTATCACTGACTTCTGTCCCAGTTGAAGATAAGCTAGTCTTTGCATCAGTATTTAGTTGCCCATGTGAGGCAGCCAGTTTCACAGGCACCTCTGGATATAGAGTTCCCTAGGCATGGTGGCCCTAGGTGTATTCTGGATTGGTCTGGTTGGTGATTCTCAGGGAAAGACCTTGCCAGGCAGGTTTTAAAAAAAGGGTTAGTTATCAGCCTGGTTGGAAGGAATCTCATCTCTAAAAACAACAAAGTTTTAGAAAACATGAATTTATAATCATTATAGAAATTCTCTTTTATGACTATTGTGAATTTTATCAGATACTGTGTTTACACTACAGTGAGACTTCTAGCAGCAACAATGGGTTTTAGTTTTAAGCAGGGGGAAAGGAAATTAATATAATCTATTTGTCATCAGGAGAGACTACCTTTAAAAAATCAAATAGCTCCCACAATGTCATTTTATACATATGTCAAAAGCAAGGAAAGATGATCTGCTATCTTAGGTGTCCATTTGGCTGTGTCCCGATGGCAGAAAAAGAATTCAGGTGGTACCAGGGTAACACAAAATAGAACAGAAACAGAACTGGTGGGAGTGGCTCCCTGAAGTCCTTAGGTTTCTATGTTCAGAGTAAAGATTACCCTACCCACAAAACGATCATTGATGACATCATTTATGATGCCTTTGCCCTTCAGTTGGCACTGCACAGGCACTGCTTGGTTCTTTACCACATCTGTAAAGTGCATCGCCACCAGCGGGGAGGTGTAGTTAACCTGTAGGTGGAAGAACAATAAATTCTAAGTGTGAGGAGGGGAGGGTATGTGGGGGAGGGCAATAGGATGGAAGTGATCAGATATTCAGTGCAGGATGGAATAACGTCCACAATGGGAACTGAGTAAATCCCACGATGTCAAGTCAGAAATGGCTAAAGCAACAGACATGTTCTCTCTGCCCTGGGACAGTGGGGAAATGACATATTTCTCTCATAAGTCAGTGTCAGTTGTCTGATTGTCCTCTGGGGAAAACTATTTCTAGCTCAGTGTGATGTGGTTTTCTGGATAGCAGCCAATGAATCAAACCAGAACTAGTATTTATCAAGTCTCTAAGATGGAGATGAAGCCTTCGCTGCCCCAAGGCTCCAAGTGGGAGCAATAAGAAAGTGTGATTATTTGGGTGTAATTGAGTGCAATGGCAAGTGATTTGTCTGCTCCTGACTCTGCCACCAATTAGCTATATGACCTTGGGCGAGTCACTTCTCTCTGAACCCTAATTTCTCCATCTGTGAACTGAAGGTGTTAGGCCAGACCATATCTGAGATGCCTTCAGATTTGGAAAGGAGTGGTTGGGATAGGAATTGGTAGAGTGAACTCAGTCTTGGCCAGCGACTATTTACCCCTTTGCTACTACCTGCTGCTCCCTAATTCTTACAGATCCCAGCCAGCGCTTTGTCTCTGAGCCCTTTCTGACAGCAGAGACTGAAGGGAATACAGACTTACATGAGTCAGTTTGCCGTAGTAAGGGTAGTAGCGGAGGTCAAAAGAAGCCGACTCTGGGTAGTAATTGATGGATCGGATGTCATTTTCATCACCTCTCTGTAAGTAAAAGTAGGTACATGTCATGTGGGGGGGGGGTCACTCAGTGAGATGGAACCTGAGCTAAAGGGACCTGTGTCCCAGGTGAAATCACTGTGTGTTCTACAACCATCTCAGGAAGACAACGAAAGCAGAATGGGGCATGGCTCAGCCCAGACCTATCCCCAGAGGAATGATTCCAGGAAGAGACAGTACCTTGGCTTTTCAGTTCAAAGAGTACTGAATAGAAGGCCCAGCCTCCGGAGGCTGAAGGTTCTCAGTATGGCTCTGTGCTGGCTCCGAGGGGACCCAGACAGAAGGGCTCCAAGGGGCTTGCAGTACATGGTGTTGCTCTGGCAAAAGGACCTACTGTGCTAGCATCATACTGGGCCTGGCACCCAGTCTGGGACATTGGCGCCGAGGCAGGTGTAAATTAGAATTTATGGGGTTAGTAAATCCCCCTCCGTGACAACGTGCACACTGAGGTCTCAGTTCTTTTGGAGGTCAGACCAGGTACAGAGGGACACAGTCTATATCTGGCTCGCTTAAACGCATGTCTCTGACTGTATTCTCTGAGGTGCTTCATTACAGCAGGTGGAGGCAGGAGGATGAGCTAGAGAGGCCCAGTACTGGAAATGCTTACATAGCCAAGTCTCCCCTCATCCCATCATGTCAGGGAGCAGACTGCACGTTCCGCTCCTGCAATCGACTTGCCCTAAAAAGCAGAGGTCTGGGGGCTAGTAAGGGACAAACAGTGTGCCGCTAGCGCATCACTCACTAGGGTCATGTGATTCCTTCTGTCAACATAGTGTAATTGCTCTTAGTATAAACTGAGCTCTCCTTAATTTAGTCTAATAATTACCTTATCCTACTTGATTTCCACCAGTGGGTGTGGATTTGACCAGTATTGATTTATGTAGGACGTATGATGACTCTTAATATTTCTTTTTTCTTTTTAAAAAAGGACGGTTCTCAGCAAGGTTCAATATAAGCTGAAAAATGAATGGCTTTCACTAGGAAACTATAAGCAGGACTCTATGCAATTAATATGCTAGTTTGAGACTGAGTTCGTCTTTAGGGTTTATTTATATATTCTTCTAAAAAGCATTGAAATTCATTTTTTTGTGAATGGTCTGTGGAGTCAATTCCACTAGTTTGTAGTCACACATCACGTGTGTGTGTATTTATATACACGCTCATGTACATGTGAACAGAATGAATGTCCTTCCTACCTTGGGCACCTGGCAGGCACTGGCTGACCTTTCAGAACTCATGTTCAGTGTCACCACCTCCCATGTGGAACTAACCTTTCCATCTTTAATGTCCTCACTACACCTTTCATAGCGCCTGTATCACTTGACTGCCCTGATTTCAGAGACAGATTCATAGTTCTCTTGGCAGCCCCAACACCTAGCAAAGCACCTGGTACATAATAAGTGATCAATACATGCTTGCTGAATGTGAACACTTGGCTGAATAAATGCTGCCTTCTGCTGCTTTCTGATCTGCCACCATCAAGACTGGAGTTTTGAGCTTTATTTCTAGTACTGAGAATGGAATTACCTGGCTTCACACATTCGCAAGGCAACTGTCCAGGGCTCAGGGTGTAGTTGATGTTATCAAACAGGAGGGAGCTACTGCCGGTTTAAGAAGCAAACCTAAGATCTAGGGCTTTTTCCTACAAAGGAGCTAATTGGCACAGATGAGATAGGAGTTAATGGTCCCTTGAAGGACAGTTAATTAGCATATTAATGGAGTTCTGTTTATACTTCCCTTGTAGTCATTTGTTATTGCAACACCCAGTGCCACTGGTCATTGCTGCAAAAAGTGAAATTCAGTTTTAAAAGCAGGGACTAATGATTCTAATGAAAGCTGCTTGTTTAGTTTAAAGAAACAAGTAATTAGAGCTAAAAGCAAAAGTGTAAACAGAATCCCAGTTAATGACTTGGCACGTAGTTGTTCCCTGCTGTGGCCCTCAGCTGAGGTTGGGTCTTTGGGTTTCACAGGTATAAATCAGCACACACACACACACACACACACACCCTACACAAATACACATGAATTGAATGCTTTCTGGAAATAGGGAGGCCTGAAAGTGTAAAGGGAGGTATAGTTATGAAAAGAATAACTCCTTCCTTAACCCTTATTCAGTCGTCCATGGTAAAGCCCTTGGAAGGGATGACTCACCTTTTTGCATGAAACAGATGTGCTGAAAGTGCTTACTCAGAAAGGCACCTTACCTGAACTTTGCAAGAAACCTTCACAGGGTCTCCAAGCTCAGGACGAAAGCCAACAATCTAGCAAAAGAAAATCAGTGTGTTTTTTAAAAATAAAAAACCAGATTTGACAGTAAAAATGGGGCTTTTCTAAACCCCCCTTGAGTCATCCCTTAGGCATAGGCTTGATCTATTTTGCCTTCTCAGAAATGTTACAAAAAGCAGAAAACGCAAAATATCTTCAGAGCTGCGCAGCTCAGCTTACTCCTTGTTGTATTTGTGCCTGATATTCATACAATGGCAACTTCAGCAAGATCACCCTGAAGAACTTACTGGTTTCAAGAGGAGTGTGCCTGGTAAGGCTCTGCCCCACCTAAGGCATGGCAGGAGAGAAGGAAAATGCATCTGTGATATAAGAATTGTCTCCCACCCCACCCTCATGTCAGTTCAGGATCTCATTCCCGACAGAAGCATCAAAGGGCAGGTTTAGGGATGTGGGAGAAGAATCAAATAGGAAGTGTTCAGGGAGAATTATTGCTTGGTAGGTTTGTCCAGTTGTTTGTGTTACTGACGCTGTTGGTAAAAAATGGCCAAACTTACAGTGTCTGAAGACAGAGCCCAAGAGAAATGGAGTGGCCAGAGCCCTCCTACCCAGCTCATCCACTTATCGCCAGAGCATCAAGGGCCAATATACCCGGTTCATCTTTAGAAGGATGCAGGGCTGTCCAGTAGAGTAGCCAAAAGTAGGGTCCTCCAGGCCAGAGCAGTTCTTCAGGAAGGAGCGCTTAAATTGGCAGGCTTTCTTGTCCTCATCCTCATCACCATCTTGGATGAAGTACTGGCCCGGAGGACAATCTACATTCATTTCCTCTTGAAGACTGTCATTATAACCTAAAGCATGTGTGAGTGGCAAAGGGTCATGTTAGACAGGTGCTACGGGGGAAGGCCATGTTTTCCATCACTCTCCTAGTTTCCTTTGTCCAGCATGCTTGTGCTCCTCTGAAAGCCCACTCACTTTGTCCTAGGCCCTGTGATGCCCAAGGCCCTTCACCAGCAACATCCCTCCAAGAAGCCTTCTGGGCTGGTCCCCTCAGCCTACTTGGATCAGCTGTCCCCTTGCATCTCATTCCCTTGGAAGTTGTTTGATATCCATCTCTGGATTGTATGTTGGCCGCTTTATAACTTTTTTCTATTTTTCCACCATTTCTTTTCTGATATGGTTAATTGTGAACTTGGGGAACTGCCTCTTCTACTTCTGGGAGAGGAATAGGCACATAGTAGACAGATTTTGGAAAAGGGACTGAGTCATATCAAGGTGTGGCACATATAATAAGGAGGCAAAGCTTCTGGGTTAGATCTCTTTAAGTTCAGCCTAGGAGACATCTCCCTTTCAGGTCATGAAAGGCCCCCAGAGCAAGAGTGAGAATTGTGTGTTGTAGGACAGGAGGAAGGGAGAAGAAGAGGAGATAAACCAGCTCCTCGTTCTTTACAGAGGGAAGCTAGCATTGCAAAATAGAAGCTTAGGTTGAAAGATAGAAAATGACAACCACAGGGTCTCCACTGAGAGGGCAAAGGGGTGAGATCTTGTCTCCTGAGACCTGAGGCACTCAGAGTTAATGTCCCTTTACATTGAGGGGAATGTAACATATGTCCAAGGTAACATATCAGGGAGAGAGGGCTACCTGTGACCTGACTCCTTGGGCTAATAGATGCCCTAGAACTGGGCTTTAGAAATTACTGTCTTATTTCCAATTTGGTTCTAAATGATAAAATCCAGTTAGTACTGTTAGATCTAGCCCCCATACATTCATGTTCCAAGAAGCCCAGTTTTTCAGAGGAGATTGTACACCTATGATCCACCAGAGGTAGAACTCCAAATGTGCTGCTGGATCCTCATTGTGACTTGGGTTTGATATTAGAAGCAACTGGGAATTTTAAATCTATTACAATTATGGCTAAGCTTTTATTTTTCCTTTGATAAAGCTACATTCAATTGAAGGTTTTGTTTTCATCTGTCTCTTTTTTAAGAACAAGAACTATGCTCAAATAATAACTTCCTAAATACAAACTCTAATCATGTGCTCATTGTTTCTCTTCAGGTAGTTCCGTTAAAAATAATGTGACATGGGCATGACCCTTATTGCAAAATCCCTGTCCTCATGGGAATGAAATTGATACTCCGGGATGTCTATTTCAGAGATGTGTTCTTTTTAAACAGGGCATATTATCTACTTAGGAACTAAAAAACTCAATGCTTTTCCTAATGTTCCCCATCTCTGTCATCAGGTCAGAATTGATATTTCTGCATCTGCTACCTTCTTGGAGGGATTTTCTCAGCAAAGATTCTGGCAATATATATGCGATAGCTCACAAGCATTTGAAAGAAAAAAAGATATTGTGCTGGCTACGATGCCCAAAACATTTTTGGGAGTCCAAACTGGAACTACATGGACTCAGAAAGAACCCAGCCCCCCTCATTTTACAGGTAAGGAGTGTGACACTCAGACTTACCCAAGATAACACTGAACATTACTGATACAAAGCTGATTTTCTAACTCCTGGTCATTTGGAAGTGACAAAGAATTATGAAAAGCAGCACTTCTCAAGCTTTAAAGGTCATACAAATCACCTGTGGATCTTACTAAAATGCAGATCCTGATTCAGCAAGTCTGGGTGAGGCCTGAGATTCTGCCTTTCTAACAAACTCCCAAGTAATGCTGATGCTTCTGGTCCCTGGATCACACTTTGAGTAGCAAGGGTGTTAAGAACAGGGACGTGGGTTTAACCACTGGTTCTGCTGCTGGGAGACTTTGATCAGGCTTCTTCCCAGTTCTGAGCCTCAGTTCCCCCATTTGCAAATGTATAGACTCTGCTATGCAGGGTTAAAGTTCTTTGACAACATTTATGCACTTAAATAACACCTCCTATCACATAAGCGAATCATCTTAATTCAGTGCATGTTCTATTGGCCATCCCTATCACCCCACTTCAGCCAGGAAATCCAAACGAGTCTAACTGCTCCCCACTCCGCCCCGCACAAATAATAGGTGCAGCAGTGTAAACCCACTGGAGCTCCTCTTTGATAGCCAGATAAATCCAGAGCCCATGCGCTTGGTGTTTAACCTTAACCAAGCTGCTACCTCAGTTTTCACCCGGTGTAAGGCTTCTCAAAAAGCCATTCATTTGTCCTTAAAAATGTATCTGATGATGCTATAGAGATAGGCATCTTGAAAACACTTGCCATCAAAATGTTGGAGTTACTGCCATCCAGAGATTATCCTTCTAACTCCCTTATGGACTGCTATTTAGATAAAGACCCTTGCTCTCTTCCTGAGATGGATCACCTCCAGGAAATGAATTCTCTTACCTTGAAAGAGGACGGGAGGCAGGGATCTTCCAGTTCTGGAGAACACTCTTTTTTTCTGACCACTACCTCCCCCTCCAGAATTATCTTTTGTAATTGATCATTATTGAGCCACTGGGATGTGCCCAGGACATAACTAGGTGCTGTAGGCTGTTTAGGGGGGAGAAAACAAGTTCTCTGCCCCATTGAACATGTTTTGCTGGAGAGTTGGCTTATATGCTTTTCAAGGCAACATACAAATCACAATGCAGAGCCGTTTTTGATTGTATCTGCATGCATTGAGGGGGATGTAAGATAAGGAAAAACTAAGATGGGCTGTGTTAGTAAGTCTGGGATTTTTGGGCCAAGTGAATTTTGAACTTTGAATTCCCACCCATCACCTCTCCAAACGTATTCCCACTGTTCAGAGGAACTTACCCTGGAGAAAGCCATTTAGGCTAATCACATAATGCTGCCAAGTGTCAGGTTCAGAAACGTTGAAGTTGAAGTTAAGGCTATGGGCGAAGGGTCTGATCATAACTCCTGGCAATGAAAACAGGTCTTGGATATATTAACCCGTTCTTGGGATAATTTTTTGTATCGATTCCCATGAAACCATTTCCCCCCAGGCAATCAAAATGAAAAGGACCATAATTTGCCAAGTACCATTTTACTTTTACTCTTAATAATTGAATCCCGAAATCATTACCGGGAAGAGCCAAAGTTAATTGAGCCTGAACATGCTGTGCAAGCAGGTTTCTGTCCAGCAAGTTCTGACAGCACAGGGTATTTGGGCACTCACCAGGAGGCTTCACCCTCTCGGTGAAGGTCGGCATGTAAGGACTGATGGTTAGAAATAGCGTGTACATGCAGAGGGTGATCACAGCAGCCAGGGAGGCATAGAAGAAGAAGTAAATGACTAAGATCAGGCCTGCAGAACAATCAGAGATGAGAGTGGTCAGTGCTGGCCAACAAGCCCTGCCTCCACATTTGAACTCATTGAAGCACAACCAATCCATACATGTGACATGGCTTTTTCTAAATCCCCCAGATTCAGTATGTCCTTGCTTATTCATATTTCACCAATTTGGAATTGGTGAGAATTGTGTCAGGGGTCTGATTGCAGTTTACTTTACAGCATCTCCAATGGAAGGGCTTGCTGAGCAAATGATGACCATGAACAAGATTACAGGGGAGTGGAGTTTAAAGTACTGCAGAGGGCAAATTGCTTGGGAGTCCTCTGGGCTACTGTTGATGTCCTAAGTACAAATCATTCTTCGCTATTCATTAAAGCATGTGCCCTAAAGAGTCCTAGCAGCTTGGTTCCAGTGATTATATATATTTGCAAGTGATGAAAACAGCATTTCTTTTCACATAGCCTATAATTCAAACTTTTGATTCCTTTCCACTGGACTTGCCTCTAATGAAGGCAAAGTGAGGCTTCACTCTATGTATTTCAAATCTTACTCATCTTTGGCAAAAGTTTAAGTGGCTCTGCTTTTCAAAGAGAACACTAACACAGGATGGGGAAGGGAGGAACTGTACTTAGTTACTGACACTTGCTGCCCGTGAGCTCCACCTGTGAGCTTGGGCAAGTTATAAAACTTCTCGGCACCCCCGATTCCCCGCCGGTAAAAATGGGATAAATTTAGTGCTTACTTCATATTCTGATCTATATCCCTAGCAATATTTGAAATTCAGCCTTTTCTTACATCCTGTCCTGTTTAATCTTAGACCTGCTATTTATCTCTCTGGGCCTCAATTTCCTCATCTGTAAAATGAGGATAATAACAGTCTTTACTTCTTAACATTGAATAATGCATATAAATAGCACAGCACAGAGCCTGGCAGATACTAAGTGCTCTATAAATGGCAGTCTTCACCATTGTTATTATGAATACTATTATTGCTATAGGACCAGAAGCAAAGTTGTGTGAATTCCTCCTCTGTGGGCTGGATTAGTACTAGGTTTGCCCCAGGATTAGGCAGCGGAGAGTGAGTGAATGAGTGAGAGATTGCTGCTGAGAAGCTCTTTTTAAGTCCTTCTTGGAGCTCTCGCAGGAAATAATATCTAGCTCTGCTCACAGCAGTGACATGATGTCAGAACTACAGATTTGAACTGCATCATGAACCAGAAACTGGAACAAATGACATAACTGCTGTACTCCAAACCAAATCCAAATATTAATTTTTAAATTGAACTGTGAACCAAATAAAATGAACAACAACAACAACAAAAAGGAGTGGAGAAAGGAGAAAAGGAATTCTTAATAATCTCACTGGAAGTGAACCTTTAGGTTTTATAAGATGAACTGAGGCAGAACTGAAACATGAACGCGTTGATTCGGTTGGAATCCCTGGAGAAGCAGCAGCAGCACTTTGTGTGCCTGTGATACTTGGCTGCTGCCCACCAGCTGTCCTAATGGGCTATGCCCTGTGCCCCCTCCATTCCTCTAACCCCGTCCCCATCGTGGGAACAGATCAACAGCTGGAGCCATCGTGGGGGACCAGAAGGCTCAGTTTCAGGGATGAAAGGAAAGCAGTAGAATACACGTATGTGCCTTGGAGATACCTTCCTTCTTGCCCAGGCTGTGTGACAGGAAGCTGTAGATGGGAGAGTGGCACTAGCAGTGAGTCCCCTCAGCTTTACCCAGGAGTCTGTGCCCTGCAGCCTGTGATGGGCTGTCTCAGCTACACTGCACCCCCCAGCAAAACCAAGCACTGTAACCACCTGAACCCATTGACCCTCCAACCCTTCCTGCTCCGAATGATCAATTTCTACTTGAGCTGCTCCTCTGGGTAATCCAGGGTTTTCTCCTGAATGCCCCACTCAAGCTTGGATAGACCAGTGTATCTTGAATAGACTAGGTACCCACGATCCCAACTCTTCACTCCTTCCACTAAAACACGCCATCAGGCCCTGAGGCCCTGTCCATTAGGGCCTTGCTCATTGCTGGAGTTCACGAAGACAGTGTGGTGTTCTGGCCAGACAGCGAACTCCAGTGTTCGTCCAACCTGGGTTTGAATCCCAGTACTGCCACTTATTAACTGTGTGACTTTAGATAAGTTACTTACCCTCTCTAAGCCTCAGTTTCTGCATCTGTAAAATGGGGATAATAATATTACTACCTCATACGGTTCTTGTCAGTACCCAATAAAATAACATATAGCTCCTAAGAATAGAGGTGGCCCTGCTATCAAAGGGAAAGCCCAGAATATAATAATAGGCTGGGTGAATATATTGGTCATGGTGATGTCCAGGCTGGGACAGGGTTAGTAAGTGCTTAAGTGGCACCCAGTTCTCAAGCAGGAGGGCAGCGAGCCATGTGGTGGCTTAGGTGTTAACATCACTATTTGCTCTTTGCCCAGGGTAGCCCCACAGAAGAAGCCTGAGTTCCTGGACTCTCCTTAAACCCGCTACCCAGAGGCCTGAATGTGGCCTACGGTCTCCCCACTGCTGTATCTTCCCTGGGCACTTGAACCTTCCTCCCTCATGCCCACTTATTGGCCTATGGACTGTTCTCCACAGGCATAGTTTGGATCAGCTCATCTGATGATGTTCCACTGGCTGGCTGTTTACAGGTTAACATAGGGCTCCCTCTTCCAGAATCAGACTTGCATTTCACAAGGCCTGTTTTTCCAGTCCTCTTTAGGCAAGGGAGAAACAGCTGTGCCCCCTTTGGAACCCCAATGAGTGTCCAGCATTTGTCTGCAGCTTTCCAGAATGTCAGAATGTTCCTTGAATGGTACATTTGTTCCAGTTGAGAGTTCGAGGGATGGGCAGGGGTGGGGCTGGGAACTGAAGTGGGGTGAAGGGAAGTGGGTGTTGTTCAGAGCCCCACACCTGCTATTCCTAATACCAGGAAGCAGGGTGGGCTGTTTCACCCAGACTGAGCTGAATTAGAAACACAAACTACAAAGGGGAGAATTCTCAGCCAGGAGGCCTTTAGAAGGCATGACCATCAACTTTAGCACCCAAGACCCTTGGCACTGGAGGACTCTTTTTCCATCCATAGAGTTATCTGTTTTTCGCTTCTCCTCTGGGTTCACTGAGTTCCAAACCGGCAGCTGTTCTTTTTCTGAGAAGTGCAGAGAGTGTGGCGAGTATGAATTTTACCACAAGCTAAATCTCCTGAGGAGGATCAGCATTAATAGTTCAAGAGGTGAGTAGGTCCCTGGGCGAGGAGTGCTGGGGAAGTTGTGAAGTAGAAAGGGTGGCAGTGTGTGGTACAAAGGGGAGATGCTAAGGGTTGCCGTTCTGCTATTGATCAAGCAATATAGGGGAGGAGGCTCAGACTTAACTCACTAGAAATGGTCCCTTTGACCCATTTCTCTGTAGACACCATGGGAGCATAAAGCACCCACAAGCTGGGCCCAGGGGCAGACCTGGCTCTCCTTCTCTGACATTACTAGGGGAAATGTTGAGGCTTTATAAACCCTTGGTCACTTTAGTAGGGACTTGAGTCTCATGTCCTAGAAATAGTCTTCTCCATAGTACTTTTGACTTTACAATTTTAACAGCTTTTTGGAGCCTCAGGCTGATCTTGTGAGAGAGGAAAGTCAGATACTGTTTCCCTCATCTCGCAGGTGAGGAAACTGGGGCTCACAGAGGATTAATGATGAGCCCAGACTTATACAGGTAGAAAGTGACAGGGCTGGGGCTTAAAACAAAATCTGCACCTTTCCATCTCATTCTCACTGTCTCTCTGCCCTGCAAGTGCTATTGAGCCCAGAGGATTTCAGCTGTACAATCAAGTTTGTTCATCCACTTGGAGTGTGTTCTGATGGTATCTGCTCCTTACTTCCCCAGGCATTGATCCCGGTACAGGAAATGCTACGAGAAGTTTGCAGACAAGCCCATCCAACGTATAGTAAAGGAATTCCGGACACCAGGCCAAAAGCAAAGGACACCTGACTAGGGCTTTGGGACAACTGGGACTTACTCCAACTCTGACCTGTTCGGGCCAGAGACATCCTTTTCTCCGGATCCCACAGGTATTCGTTCACAATGTGCAATTTTTGCCACCAGGCATTGCTTGTTTCCTGACCCTGACTCTCTTCCTCCTTTTCCTCCTTTTCTTTCTCCTCCTCTTCTTCCTCCTCCTCCTTCAAATTGGGTACTACCATCACCCGAGCCTCTTCTTCTGCTTCTTCCTCTTCATCTGCTAAGTAGTTCTGGTTCACTTCATCCTGATCGTCCTGAAACAGTGACAAAACATAGTCCCCTTTTTGGAAAAGGAAATCTCCAGGGGCCCATCTCACCAGCCAAAAATAAATGGAAAATGACTCAATATTTGGAGATGCTTCAGATGTCCACTTACCCATAAACATACCTGTTGTTACAAGAGGCAGATTTTCTTTCTCTCTGTTCTTTTGCAGGAAATATCTTTCTATGACCCATTTTGACCCAATATTCTTTCCATAGAGGTGCAAGTCTTATTCTCAGCTTCAGACATTTGGGCTCTTCCCCTAGGACTGCTCATGTCACTGCTCTGTCCTGAAGCCTTGGCTTCCCGCTTAACTTTGTCTGGCCTGTCAGGGCAGAGCTGAGCTCAACACTGGAGGATGGAGTAGTTTTAGACACTTGTGTCCGTGATGGCAAGTTTTCAGCCCAAGCCAGCTTTGTCGTAACACCCTGTACACTTTCAGCTGCTCAACCTCACTGTCCTAAGTTGTGCCTAAAAATAGCCTGGGAGGGACATCAGGACGAGAGGCCAGCTGCTGCACCCCTCCTCAAAACAGACTGTCTTCCCAACAGAAACAAGAGATAGAGGTTACTTGCTGCCTCTCTGACTGTTGCCCACGCTGGAACCTCTTCCTGCCTTAAGCTGGTTGGACAGACCACCTGGGATGCCAACTGATACTTCCTTAGTCATCCCACCCCCAATGCCATACCCTAGGCAAAAATCTGGGCACGTAGCAAATGCTCAGCACATATTTGTTGATTGACTGATTGCAGCCATTACTTGAGGTCTGAAACTGTAATCTTCTCCGAGTGGTTCTAAGAAAATTGAAACAAAAAAGGAAAAACCCAGACTTCACCAAATGGCATTTCAAATGTCTCTGGGCCACAGGCTGGAGAGTTGGATCTCTGCTCTCTGTGGATCTGCCAAGGCCACCCTCCCTCCTCTCTGCTGTCCAAATCTGAAGAGTGGCGGGGCCTGTGCACCTGTTGGGCTTGGATGTGTCAAATGATAGAGGCCTGGGGCTCTGTGCTGCCCCCTCCCTGCCTGATTCCTCAAAGGCCATTTAGAGGACGCTCGGCTAGAAGTGCTGCTGTTTGGGAGGGGGTGGTTTCAGAAAACTGGATTGTTCAGAATTAGTAACAGTGATACAGAATGACAGGACTCTAGTCTCAGCATTCAGTTGGCCTAGCGCTGTCGAGCTCTAGATTAGAAGCACTCTTGAATTGCTCTCTAATTTGTTCAAACGTACAGCTTTGCATCATGCACCATTATCAAAACCAACAGGGACCTTGAAGATTCACTTGTGAGGCCCAGAGAGGGGGCAGGATCTAGCCAAAGTCACACAGCAAGTTCATGAGAGAGTTGACAGTCTCAGAACCCCTATCTCTCCATACCATGGACAGTGATGTTTCTCTTCTATCACACTGAGCACAGGTGCTTAGGGGTGGTTTAGCAGATTTGTGGTGCACAACAGTGTGTTAGATTCTGTGTTCCCAAGGGATGGTAGGTGCTTATAATCGAAGATTTCTAACTCTGACAGACTCACAGGGTAAGGCTTAGGAAAATAAACCCCATCACTCAATGCTGAATGGGTCAATAGTTGTTCTTAAGTCTCTTTCACTTGTGTGTGATCATATGTACCCATTTGACCTCCAGACCTACATTCTGAGCACCAGGGGGCAGGGTCCATGTTTTCTAACTCCTTGATGGCCCTCCACAGTGTGGAACCCACAGCTAGGACACCAGTGGGGTCTAAGCAAGTGTCAATGGCTGACTTAAAGCTCCTGAGCCAGGACTCTGGGGGGATGCTCTCACAAAGCCTGGTCCCTCACCTCAGTAGTCACGTGGACTGTAGTGGGTAGTCATCATGGCCCCCAGAGAATCTGCAGCCGAGAATCTCAGGGAATTTGAAGTGTAACATTTCAACGTGGAGGAATTTATGTTCCTTTTATATTTTCTAAACACCTTCCTTTTCTCTCCTTGTTGCCTATTCGCCTGCCCTCCACCTCTGCTCCACAGAGGAGGCAGCTGGCTTTGGCCTCAGCCTGATCTTATTTGTAGATATGAGCTCTCACGCTAATCTCATTAAAGATGGCTTGTCATTAAAGCTTTACCCTCCTGGGAAGAATTAACCTTCTCAGTGCTAATTTCCCCACAGCTCTCATACTGCCTGAGCTTCAGAAACCTCAAATATCTTTTTCCCTCTCCCTGCTTCCCAGTATAGGAGAACCTCACCTTCTGCAACAGAGGCACTTTTGTGCAACCAACTATTTAACGGAATCCAGTAGGGAATCCTTTGGTAATGAGAGGGTCTGTTTTTGTCCGTTTCCTAAAGTGGTACCGCCCTCATGTGATAGTGTCTGTGCTGGGAGAGAGTTGTGGGTGGGTGCTGGGGCCATCACGTTGCCCTAAAAGGGAAGAGTCTGAAGGGCAGAAGGTGGCTCCATTTTGAGCACTCTAAATATATAAACATATAAACAAATGTATAAACAAGCAGTATGACCCGAAGGATAAATTTGTGCCCTGCATTGAGTAACACCCTGTAAACATTCAAACGGTTAGTTAATTTTAAAAGAGACATTAGCACATGATTACTCACTGCATCGAATAATTTCTTTTTAAATTTGATCAAGTATTCCCTATAAAGAGCAAGATTCCTCTGATGCATTTAAAACCCAAACCAGTTGACAAATAATTGAAATTATACACAACATTTCAGCAGCATTACATAGAAAGGAAGCCAAGTAAGCACTAGTTACATATGCCCTACAGACTGTGACCACTCTGATTGCTGGAAGGGACTCTGGGGATGTCAAAAGAGAGATTGTACAAATTGTGGCTGGGCAGTCAAGAGAAGCCCTCCACAAGTTGATGTGGGCTTAGAAGAATATGTGCCTTCCTCTGCTAACTGTTGACCGTCTTCACTTAGCTTGCTGGTTACATAACTGGCCATTCCCCAAGAAAAATGGATTAAGGTTTGTTTCCTCCGGGGGTTCAGATCACAGCCCGGTGTGTGGGAGATTTCAGAATATACCTCCCCCCTAAAGTACTGCATGTGGTTTGTATTAATGATTTATAGCAAAGTAAGTGCAAAGCAGGGTGGCAGTGGGTGGTGGAGGGCTGGAGGGTTAAGGAGTTGCACGCTGCAAATATAATGGAAAGAGCACAAGATTGGAAGTGAGGAAACTTGCATTCTCACTTTGGCTCCTCCACTAACTTGCAAGTCACTCCTGTGCTCTGAGCCCCAAAGGCGTCCTTTACCTAATGAGGGGTTCTGGAGAGGTGAAGTCTAGGACTCCTCCCAGCTACTGTCTAGGATTTGATGATTTTAGCTATAGTCTGGAATTTCTGCTTTGGAAAAAGAGCAGCTGGGTTCCTAAGAAGCTACCACCCAAAGGGATCGAGACAGCTGGGTAGGCAGTGCCTTTCGTTTCCCCTTCCCTTCTCTCTTGGCTAAATTCCTTGGTATCGGAAGGAAACCTCCACTCCCAGACTCCAAATAGTCTGTTCAAATTCTGGACTCCCAAGGAAAAATTTAGAAAGCCCCTTATTCTCTGGCTTCTTCCCCTTGCTTTATCTTTGTTGCACAAGAAGAGGGGCTTCCTCCTTCAGTCCAGCAGTTTAGGGTGTGATGGGGTACTGGGGGTCACTGCTTGCCTCAAAACTATGGGCTTCCTTAAACTTCACCGTTCCTGACCGTCCTAAGGAGAAGCAGCCCTAAGCCAAGACCTATACAACCCCCACCCTATCCCACTGAAAAGGGATAGCAAAATATTCAGCTCCCTGGGACTCACAAGTCTGTAGCGATAACCGTAAGGAAAGGCCGGAGCCCTTCTGGACCGGAGCTGCCGTCTCATGGCTGGTCAGTGGGCAAAGACGCGGCAGAGGCAGGCCAGTGAGTGAGAGTTATGGAGCTTCTGCTGGTACAGGAGACACTGGTTGCTGGGGATACTTGGCGCCCAGTAAAAGTGAACCCTCCTGGCATGAGCCCTTCCCCAAAATAATCCAACATGCCCCTCTCTCATTGGTTGGCCCCTTCCCTGAATCAAAGGAAAGCCCTGATGGAAAAGCAAGCTCATCATTACAGGGAGGGGGAGATATTCTGGGTCACGAGGATGAGCGACTCACCACCCCCAACTTCATGTCTCTTCCCACCCACTGCCCTTCCCTAGCGCCTGAGCTACTATGCGCCCAATGGAAATCTTAAGTCGTGTTCTTCTGAATTGAGAGTTGGATATCAGTGTGTGCAGGGGGTGGGGCGTGGGTGGGAGTTGGGGGTGAGGGGAGATGACCAAGAATAACTTTCTTTTTTCATAAGGCTGACCTCATACAAAAGGATCTAGGGTGTCAGGAAAGATTCCCTTAGCTTTCCCCACCCCCCCCACACCAGGCCACCTACAATATTCCTTATTTGTGTCAATCCGCAAGTCCCTTAAATGTAGACTATGCATTCTGATTTTAGAGGCCAGGCTCCTGCCTTACCCCTCCCTGGCCAAAAAGGGTCTTGGACATAAAGAAGCCTTTTTCTAGCCCACATGTCAGAATGGCCCCATCAGCACTGCCCCTCACACACACACCCCTTGGAATCCTGGCCAAATTTCTGTAGTGGTTGAGATCTATATTTATCCCTTAGCATCAAGGCAGGGAACAAGCCAGAACTTTGCAGTGTCAGTTTCCCAGACATATATAACTCCTGAGGCCAAAGTGGGATCCAACAAAAGAAAAATTAGTAGAAACAGCCAAGAACATTGTATAGCAGTTTTAGTCTGTTTGATTCACCCCACTGGAGCCCGGGTGGCTAAGAGGCCTAGGTGGAATTTGTGATCCTTCCTTCACAAATCCCTCCCCCTGCCCATTACACCCAGGTGACTGAGAATGTTGCAGGTAGTGGGCATATTCATGAGCAAGAAAACCATAGCCCAACAGCTTAGACAGATCAGTCATAATTCCAAGTCGAGGCTATTCTGATGAAGACAGCTTCAATAGTGGTTAATTTAAAATAAAAATTCCATTGGCTAGAATGTAACTAATCAGGACTCTTCCTTAACGGAGTCCCCCTGCCCCATACTCTCATTTGAAGAGAAAGAGAACACTGACAAAGAGAAGAGAAACTCATTCTTCTTTTTGGATTTTAATGAAAGCAAAATATATTCCAGGGGATAACCTGGTCTCAGGAGACTTTGAGTTCTGTCTCTTACACTTTCTCCATTCAAGCCTTTTGTGTGATTCCTGGTGTTAAGTAGGAGAATCTCGAAGCCCTTGGAAGCGTCAAAAGCCAAAAAAAGCATAGATAGGTAAATTGGTCTTGTTTTATGAAGGCATAAAAGAGAGTACAGTCACGTTAGCAAGATTTCAAAAGCCAGGAGTGGGCAGTAGCATTATTCACAATAGCGAAGATGTGGAAACAACCTAAGTGTCCTGTTAACAGATAAATGGATGAGGAAGGATGAGGAATATTCTAAAATGGAATATTCAGTCATGAGAAGGAAGGAAATCCTGCCATTAATGACAACATGGATGGAACTTGAGGGCATTATACTCAGTGAAATAAATCAGACAGAGAAAAACAGATACTGTATGATCTCACATGTGGAATCTAAAAAAGCCAAATTCATAGAAACAGACAGTACAATGGTGGTTACCAGAGGCTGGGGGGAGGGTGGGGAATTGGGAAGATGTTGGTCAAAGGGTACAAATTTCTAGTTATGAAATGAATAAATTCTGAGGAATCTAATGTATGACATGGTAATCATCATTAATAATATTGTATTATATACTTGAAAGTTGCTGAGAGTAGATCTTAAGTGTGCTCACCATAAAAAAGAAATGGTAATTATGTGATGTGATGGAGGTGTTAGCTAACACTATAGTGGTAATCGTTTTGAAATATATATATATATATATAAAACGTATCAAATCACTTTGTACACCTTAAACTTACACAATGTCATGTGTCAATTATATCTTAGTAAAGCTGGGGATAAAACCAAAAATGGGAGACAAAAGGACATTTGGAGTAATGTGAACTCAGGTAACAAAACATTCCATTCTCCAGAATTTCTCATTCCCTAGCATTCTGGGTCATTTGGGATTTGCCATATACTTAATATATTTACAGTGTATTTTAACTATAGCCCAGGCTGCCTTCTGGAATGCCAGCTGTTGGGTGGGGTAAACTAACAAAATCCCATACGATCTCTAAGACAGAAATCTGTATGAGCTCACACTCAAAAGGCTTTAGCTAAAGGAGAAACTGTTCCTGCCAATTTTGGAAAAAAAGCAATCTGCTTAACAGTGCAGCAGACTGGAGCCAGAAGCGGCCAGTGGGGCTGCAAATGAAGCAGTGGCTACAGCGGCAAGAGAGGAGGAGGAAAGGAGAGGCTTTGAATTTGACAGCAGGTTCAAATGCAAATGATTAAAGTCGCTTAAAGTATATGCCCAGTCCTTGTGCACAGATGTTAGCAGCTGCTTCTCTGAGCCCCGTTTCCTGGTTGCCTGCTTCAGTAAAACCACATGGTTGCTGACAGGGAACAGAAACATTCTTATGGACTGGATCTTCCTGTTCCCAAAAGAAGAAAGAGAAGGTAGCGCTCTTGAGAGATTCTTTGCTTCTACCATGAGAGGGGCTAGTTTATGGCATGTGTTCTTGTGGGCTACTTATGCAATATTGTGTTTGGTAGACAGAGCCATCAGAGTGATTGTGTACTTTCCCTACCCAGGGATTGGCTAAGTCTTCAGGGAGTCTCTAGGGAGTCACGTGCAGTGGAGCTTAAGAGTTGTTTGCCGTTGGAGTCATCCAAGTGTTGTTGAGTGCTCTCTAGAACCCCAGTCCCTTCCAGCATTAGTGACCTTGAGGACTCTGAAGTCATGGGTGAGGAAACTCCAGGCTGGCCCAGGGCCTGAGGCTGCCCATGAATGCTGCCCAGCATAGGATGTCATCTTCGAAGTTTGTGGAGGAGGGGGAACTCATTTGGGGCTGCAGAGATCAGGGAAGGCTTCCCGGAGTAGGCGGAGTTTGGGCTGGACCTTGAAGGGCAGTCCTTCAAGCTGGAACAGCTACTACTGGACTTTGATGATGCCAGTATGGTCCCCAGTGCCCAAAGCTCCCCCTCCTGAGCAGATAGCCTCTGAGTAGTGGCCAGCAGGCGTGTCCAGCAGGCTCACTGGCTAAGGCCAGAGGGTTTCCTTGACCTGAATGGTCCAGATAATGGCCCCAGATCCTTACTTCACTGGGTTCCAAGAAGAACCCTTAGCACATCACATTCCTGAGCAGAGTTTCTATCTGCCGAGTACAGTTGCACAGTGAGAGATGCTTTCATTTCGAGGGACTGTGGCCCATAGGTTTGTCACTGTATAAGCCTAGACCCCTGGGGGAAAAATGAAGGCTTGGGAAACAGTGAGGTCCTTGTGGAGTTTCAAGCCTATTTCCAGTGGCTAAAAGGCACTAATGAGTATAATGCAGGCAAGAGACGTTGGTTCAAACAAACAACTAATTGGAATTAAGAGAAGAAGTGTGCAGAGGCCCCTAATGAATGGATATGCTAATTGGTCTTCTTTGCTAGCCCCTTGGGCTTTGGCTGTGACATAGACTAGCCTATTAGACGCCTGCTCTGTAATAGCTGCTGAACGCTGGGGCCCTTTATTGCCATGGTAACATTGATGTCGAGAGTCTAGCTGAGCCCCGGATCTCTTAATTTACTACTCAGGCGGCTACAATTCTTTGGGTTTTATTATTCTTCGTGCCCCAGGTGCCAGAGTGGCAGTGAATCATGCTTATTCATCCTCTGCACCGCCCACGGTGTCTTTGAATAAGTCAGGGTGTCTCTTACTGTGTGTGATGAGAAGATTATTAAGTTAGAGCCTGTTTCTGCCTTAGCTAAGCTAGTACGTCTCAGAAACCCAATGCACCTCTCTAACCACTTGCTTCCCTGCTGCATCAAATGGCTTTTGGCAAGCAGAGCCATGGCACTGCAGTGGGCCCGCCAGGGCCCAGCCTCCCAGAAGCTTTGTGCTTGCTAGGTGTGCAGGGAAGAGCAGAGCAATCCAGGTGGGGCAGCATCAGCTGGGAGAATGAACCTTGGATACACATGCCGTCAAAAGGAAGAGTCAAGGTTGGAAGAAGAGTCACTGCAGAGAAGGTCCTGGCTGGGAGCCATGGTGCTGGAAGTTTCAGTCAATCTAGAGTCGGCAGGTAGGGCCTGGGTGGAAAAGGTGATCCCTCATTCTGAGCGACTCCAGAGGAAGGAAGCAGTCTTCCAAAGCTAGAAGTTATCAGGAGGATGCATTTCACTTTATTTTATAAAAGGCCTTCGTTAAAAAAACAAAGCTGGTCACAGAGATCAGCTGCCTCTGAAAGTTAGTAAGTGACTTGTCACTGGAGCTGCCCAAACTTTGCTGTCTCAATGTGGAGCTGTTCTATGCATACACGGCTGGGGGTGAGGAGTAGGATGGAGGGTTTGCTAGATGACCTCTTAGGACTCTTCCAATTTTGAAATCTTCTGTGTCTATATATGATGATGTTTAATTTATCAGGACATACGCTAAACTTGGATGACACTTTATATGTACACGTGCTTGCTTTAACAGCACATGTGCTAAAATTGGGATGATACTCTATATGTGTTTGTCTGTGTCTAACTCCAGCCATAGATGAAACCTTGCAACAGGTGCAGGGATATTTTCCTGACACCTCTGTCACTAAGAAGTGGGCAACCTGAAACTAAAGCT